TAGCATGTGATTCCTGCTCCAGTTCAAAGGTCACATTCACAAAAGAAGCAGTTCCTTCTGGTTGCTCGATCTTTGGCTGCTGGCCCTCCTGATTGTGCTGCTCCTCAAAACGATGTTCTGCCTCCTCAGAGAGACGGTTCTCCTCCTCTTCTTCCTCCTCCTGTGGATGACACATTATTAGGGTCTCACAATGTGAATACTGTTCAAAATCTCTCAAAAGACTTTGTATGTCCTTAAGTAATTGTACATGCTGCTTTTGAGAATATCAGCTAATAAATGAAGGCTGTAGCGGTGTACATACCTCTTTCTTCATCCTGTAGTACTCATCAATTGCATACTGATATTTTGGCGTCGTGATTCCCAGCAGTGAGGCCACTTTCTCTCCAAGATAGTCACAAACTGAAATATTTGGGTTGAAATGTACATTATGGACTGTTTTTGTATGATTAAATGTCACAGGCTGGAAAGAGTTTCATTACCTGAGATGGATGAGGTAGCCACTCTCCACATATGGAACCAGACATATGGACCCCAGGTCAACTTTGACTATAATCAGAGATGCAAAGTGACTAAGATGTTCAGATTATTAAAAAGAAGCAACTGAAACTACACTTCTATTTAAAGGTACCATATTTTACACCTTTCTGGAGTTTTATTTTAGGTTTTGATGTCCTTAAGAATATATATTTGCGGTATAAGTACCAAAAACCATCTCAATATATTTTTACAGCTCCTCTCTCAGGAGCTCTGCTGAGAACAGGTCGATTTTGGCCTGTCTAATTGATATTCATGAGCCTCTCTTCTGAGTGGCCTGTTGTTTTCTGAGTGACGCACGGCCAGGCCAACCACAGGTAACTAGGGTCAGCGACGTCACAGCGCTAGCTGGAGGCAGCAAAACAAAGGGGAAACTGGAGGCAGCCCATTCAAACCAGCGCAGATTCAGCTACATGAGGAGCTTAAAATATCATCTTGTTGTGATGTTGGGTGCCAGAATCGACGTAATACAGCCTCAAATTAGAAATTTTAGCGCATATCTGCTGCCACTGCCAGACAAAAAACCGACGACAGCTGTGGTTAAACGCGATAAAACGAGCGGACTGGACAGAAACGATCGTCAAAAATGCTCTCGTTTGCAGCGCACACTTCTTATCAGAAAAGGTTCAATAAAGTATTGTCTTTTGTTGTTATGGGCGCGTCTACAGATTTCTTGCCATATGTCTATGTTTCTTGCATGAAATAACACTGTGTGCATGTGTGTCAAACAACAAACTGACGATTTATATATATAATCATTTGTAATTGTATATACATTGTTGTGATTAATTGTGGCTGGAACAATAATGTAGCTGTAAAAATAGTTGCCTGCTGAAATTGAAATGTATAAACATCTTCATCATGACTAGATAGACGGTGAGTTTGTCTTTACTACACACGTTATAGAAGTGATCCACCTCATAGTAACAATCCTGTCAGATCGTCCATCCTTTGAGTGAGAGTGTAACGTTACAGGTCGGCCGATCTGGTTTCGTGGTTAAAGTTAACCTTCTCAACATGTTTCCGCAATGTTGTCTGGGGGTGTGGCTAAAGGAGGGTGGGACGGTGGGCGGTGCTCGGGGGGGTGACTGAAGGCGGTGACTGTGTAGCTCTGACGTCAACTTTTTACGGAAGTCACAACGGTTCGTGAAAAATCACAGCTACTTTAAGCAGGCTGTGTGCATTTTACTGTGGACTGACTGTTTTGAAACTTATATGGTAGTTACATAGCACCTAGACCTCAGTTATCATGAAAAAAGCCAGGAGATTTCAGTTTTGACTATATTGAACCTTTAATGCATTTGAAGAAGCGCACGAGAGTCGTTTGAACATCAGCGCTGAATCTCAATCCAGATGCATTTGCTCCCTCTAGTGGGAATAAACTGGAACAAATGTATTTTGTAGTAAGAAGCCAAACACAAAGAGTTGCATCCAGGGTTATTACACTCTAAAAATGCTGGGTTAAACACAACCCAGCGCTGGGTAAAATCTGGACCAACCTAGCAATTGGGTTGTTTTCAACTAACAGTTGAATGTTTAACCCAACCTTCTGTGCAGTAACCCAACCGCTGGGTCAAAACAACCCAATTGCTAGGTTGGTCCAGATTTTACCCAGCGCTGGGTTGTGTTTAACCCAGCATTTTTAGAGTGTAATAACCCTGGATGCAACTCTTTGTATTTGGCTTCTTACTACAAAAGTGTATTAAAACATTTTTGTTAATTGAATTAAATAAATAAAATTTGAATGAAATGAAGTAAATTTATTTTCAGTAAAAAGTATGATTAAAATTAAATATAAATATTAGATGAAAAACTTAATTTTAGAAATGTACATTTCTTGCCAATGTAATATTTCTAATTTTCATTTAGTTTAATCTGAAGCACTAAAATTGCTAGCTGGAAATAAAATAAATAAAAATGATACAAACTAGTTTTTTGTTAAATGAACTAAAGCTTAATTGAAATAAAATATGAATACTAGATGAAAAACTTAAATTAGTTGCCCAGGCAATATTTCAAATTTTCGTTTAGTTCAGTTTGAAACACTAAAATTGCTAACTGGAAATAAAATAACTAAAAAAGAAATTAAAACGTATTTTTGTTTAATTGAATTAAAGCTGCAGTCCGTAACTTTTTTGGGGGTTAAAAATAATCCAAGTACATAACCAGCCAGTGTTCGAAACTATCGCCGATTCACACCGGTTATCTTATAATAATGTTTTCTAGTTTGAGTAGTACGGGTAGGTTTTCGTCATTACGTCACGTCTGTAAACATAAAGAAGCTGTCCCGGCTACTAGGCTATCGCATGTGAGGATCCTGCAGCTGGCCGATCGTTTATAGCCTTTTCTCACAGCAGCCAGAATAATTAAATGCATCATTTTGATGGCGGATTGTAATCCAGAAAGGATTATGTGTTTATGAAACACATGTGAATGAAATTAAATTATATTCCAGTTATAAATGTGCTTCTGATTACAGCTAGCCTTGGATTGCAAAGATTTGTATTTTAAAGGAATCCAGTTCGAAGGGAGCATAATTAGCTTTTTGGGTTAAAAGAATTTCTTGATATGAAATTCGAAGTGTATGACAATTAGATTAGATTGAAATCTACACGCTAATACACACTATACTCATAGTCACCAATGCTGATGTTGTTAACATTAATCATTTGAGAATAAAGTATAACAATAATAATAATTTGCACGGTTTGATGTGATATGAGCTAACCGATCTTTAGATTTAATCACCATTGGTAGCGAGATTTATTTTTCCTCAGTTGGTCAGAACAAACTTGGCAGACTTGTTACTTACTTGTTCAGATGGCAGTATACGGTGAAAATTCTTATTTGGGTCATATTCCAAGACGTAGGCTAGAATCTGTGATTGCGAAGTACAGTAAATATCCACACCGGTGCGGTGACTGACTGCCACACATACTCTTCAGAACATTAGATTCATCCGCGCCGGAGCACAACCCACGTAAGCTAGATAATTCCACACACAGCTGCAATTCCAGGTTTTCAAACAGAGATGGCGACAAAGAGGCAAAACGTACGGACTGCAGCTTTAAATAAAATCAAATATAAATACTGGATGAAAAAGTTACTTGCCAAGGCAACATTTCTAATTCTTGATTTAGTTGCGGCACAAAAAAACTAGAAATAAAAATAAATTAAACCTAAATAGAAATGTTTAAACAGAAAACATACATAGCAAATACATAGAAAAAAATTCAACTAAAATTAAAATATAAAAATAAAAGCTAATTCAAAAAACACTGCTTGCATCTGAATGAAAATTTCTTGATTTTCTTTAGTCCTTTTAAAAACTGATAACAGTAAATTGAATATCTATTTATAAAAGATATCATATAAACATGGTTTCATATTTCTAGGCTTTTCTAGTCTCATTGTCTGGCAGTAAAGGAGCTGAAAGTTACTCTAGTTCTGAGTTTTTTCTTCTGGGCATCAATAAGACCTGAGTCCCGCCGCAGGAATAAATAAATACTGATAAATCCTCAAAGCAGTGCAGGCATTTGTGATGATGAAACAGTCAGTGTTTCTCTTTAAACGTCCTTCATTGTGTTTTGTCTCGACAGGAGAGGTCAAACCACTGACGACCCGCAGGCCAACAAACAGTACAGGAGGAGGTTCGCTTTTATTCGTTCACTCCTTTAGATTTCAACAGCTTCACAACTAATATAATTTAACAGAAAGGAAACAATCACTGTTTGGTGTCGCGCAGCTCTTTGTTTTTTTTATTTTTATTTATGCTTTTCAAGGCAAAACAGTTTCTTTGAGTTTGTCGCTCGCTGGTTTTAAATAGAACCAGACACATTTTTTACATTTTTTTGAGACAAAATCTGCAGAATGGAGTTTGTTAAAGCACTAGTTCACCCAAAAATGAACATTTGCTGAAGATTTACTCATCCTTAGGCCATCCATTTCTTCATCAGGTTTGGAGAAATGTAGCATTGCGTCAGTGACTCAGCAGTGGATGCTCTGCAGTGAATGGGTGCCGTCAGAATGAGAGCTGATAAAAACATCACAATAATCCACAAGTAATCCACAGCACTCCAGTCCATCAGTTAACATCTGAAGAAGACAAAAGCTGCGTGTTTGTGAGAAACAAATACATCATTAAAGACATTTGCAACATAACGCTTCCTCCAGTGAAAAAGTGCATCTCCTGTTGTCTCTCACATCAAAATCCAGCCACATATAGAGCTGTTTTGGACTGTAAGCGGTGCTTGATCTGTGCAGATTTCTCTCCTGATTCAGACCAGAACACTTTTTCTCTGGAGGAAGCGTTATGTTGCAAATGTCTTTAATGATGTATTTGTTTCTCACAAACACGCAGCTTTTGTGGCCTGAGGATGACAAAATTTTCAGCAAATGTTCATTTTTTGGTGAGTATTAATAAGAGTGTGCATCACTGTTATTGGGAACTGAAAGCACAATTAAACTAGTTAAAATGTTAAATAAATGAACATGCTTGTAGTTGGGGCATGTTCAAAATGTAGATTTAGGTTTTTTGCTTCAAAAAACTTTATTATAGTTTTTTTTTTTTTTTTTTTTTTTTTTTTTGATGGAAGGTGTTCTTGCTCTATTTTTGATAACATCTAATTAAGAAAAATTGCATCCTTGTGAATTTTATTAACAATATTTTTTATATTGTTTTTGCAAAACTGATCTTGATAAACTTTCTAGAACTGTTCAGGAATGTGTGTCCCTCTTTCATTCTGTCCTGTGACCTGTGACCCCTCTGATTGGCCCCTTTAGGTCACGTTCCCGTGGAAACACCAGCAGCGGCAGCGAATCCGAGAATTCCAACAGGGAACATCGTAAAAAAAGAAACCGGTGGGTTATTGAGCTGTCAGGACAATAAAAGAGCACAGGGCTCCTGAAATATATGGACATTATAAATTAAGGTGTTAATGGTCTTAAAAACTATTATTTTGGGGAAAAACAATTATTTCGGAGCATTGGGAAAATCTTTGAGAAAAGCAGGAATTCGTATCATGATATACATGCATTCACTTCTACAACTCCCTACAACCTGCAGGTCCCGTCAGGAGAATGAGATGGTTGATTCTGGTCCGCAGTGGGAGGTTGTCCTGCGCAGACAGAAAGAAAAAACTCCCAACGATCCCAACCATCGGCGCTCGCGACACCGCTCACGATCGTAAGCACCTGAAACTATTAACCCTGTAAAGCCTGACATATGAAATCATAGTCAGAAAATTTCCGATTTTTAAATTGAACAGTTCACTGAACCTTTTAGACAAAATACTTGAACATATTTAAATATATATTTTGCTTTATAGGGTTAAAAAACATGTATGACCCGACCCTCTTTGAACTTTGTTTCATCTTGTCTGTCATAGACGAAGTCCTGACATCCAAGCTAAAGAGCAGCTCTGGAAGCACATCCAGTGAGTTTAATGAAACTCTCAGAGACGCTATCTCTGAAAAACAGAAGACAGACGGTGTTGATCATGTTGTGTTTGTGTGCAGAAAGGAGCTGATCGATCCTTCAGGTCTCTCTGAGGAGCAACTAAAGGAGATTCCGTACAAGAAAGTGGAGTGAGTCAAATCAACCTGTCCTATAAAACAGGACAGTCAATATTTCTACAAATAGAGGAAACATTGGGATCCCATAAAAAAATTAAATCCCCAAATGTACATACGTGTCTCTGTCAGCATGTTAAAACTCCCAGTGCAGTATGTTGACAATTAGTGTCCATAGAAAACATGCGTTATATCTCTAAAACCGTTCCTGATGAGCTGTATGTAAATCTGATGTTTTGGGATATTAGTCTGCTGAACGCTGAGCTTGAAGTAACACAGAAAATAAGCTTTTAAGGACCTAAACCCATGTGGCACTGAAGTGCAAACTGTATCTGGTTTCAGAACACAAGGTGACCCGATCAAGATCCGCCATTCACATTCTCCCAGGAGCTTCCGGCAGTATCGACGCTCCCACTGTTCGGATGGCGAGAGGTCTGTGCTCTCCGAGGTCAAGTAAGTCCATACTGAGCGGTCAAGAGGATTTTTCGTATCACACTCGCTGATCTCAGATCAGATTAATTTCTATCGTCTTTCCATTCACGTCTGTAGCGCTCGGACCGATCTGGTGCCTCCTCTCCCGGTTACACGCACCGCAGATGTGCCCGGTTCCAGCTCGACCCCTGCACAGGTCAGACACACACCTTCTTCATTACTTGCTTGCTTAATTATTTAATGGAGTAGTTCAGCCAAAAATGAAAATGAGCTGAAGATTTACTCACTCTCAAGCCGTCCAAGTTTGTTTCTTCGTCAGATTTGGAGAAATGTAGCATTGCATCAGTGTCTCAGCAATGGATGCTCTGCAGTGAATGGGTGCCGTCAGAATGAGAGCTGATTAAAAACATCACAATAATCCACAGCACTCCAGTCCATCAGTTAACATCTGAAGACAAAAGATTAAACAAATCCAGTATTAAGATGTTTTTAACTTCAAGCCGTTGCTTCTGGATACTAACTCTTCCTCCAGTGAGTCAGTGTTCTGGTGTGAATCAGGAGAGAAATCTGCACAGATCAAGCACCGTTTAAACAGCTCTAAACAAATATGTGGCAGGATTTTGACTTTTTCACTGGAGGAAGCGTTATTATGAATTATGGACTCATAATTTAGTTAAAAACATCTTAATGCTGGATATG